CATGGTTTAGGGGAATACAAAAAGCTAGTTCAGAGATTTCAGCTGTCAGTTTCCACTGTGAGGAACATAGTGAGGAAATGGAAGACCACAGGCACAGTTCTAGTTAAGGCCGTAGTGGCAGGCCAAGAAAAATCTCAGATAAGCAGAGGCGAAGGATGGTGAGAACAGTCAAACTCAACCCACAGACCAGTTCCAAAGACCTACAACATGATCTTGCTGCAGATGGTGTCACTGTGCATTGTTCAACTATTCAGTGCACTTTGCACAAGGACATGCTGTATGGGAGAGTAATGCGGCAGAAGCCTTTTCTGCTCCCATGCCACAAAAAGAGTCGTTTGAGGTATGCTAAAGCACATTTGGACAAGCCAGCTTCAGTTTGGAATAAGACTGATGAAACTAAAATCGAGTTATTTGGACATAACAAGGGGCGGTATACATAGTGGAAGAACAACACAGCATTCGAAGACAAACACTTGCTACCCACAGTTAAATTTGGTGGTGGTTCCATCATGCTGTGGGGCCAGTGCAGGTACTGGCAATCTTGTTCAAGTTGAAGGTTGCATGGATTCCAGTCAGTATCAGCAAATTGCGAACAATGTTTAACAATCAGTGACAAAGTTGAAGTTGTGCCGGGGCTGGATACTTCAACAAGACAACGACCCTAAACACCGCTCAAATTCTACCAAACCATTCATGCAGAGGAACAAGTACAACGTTCTGGAATAGCCATCTCAGTCCCCAGACCTGAATATCATTGAAAATCTGTGGTCTGTTTTAAGGTGGGCTGTCCATGCTCAGAAACCATCAAACCTGACAGAACTGGAGATGTTTTGTAAAGAAGAATGGTCAAAAATATATACCTTCAACCAGAATCCAGACCCTCATTGGAAGCGTTTAGAGGCTGTTATTTCTGCAAAAGGAGGATCTACTAAATATTGATGTAATTTTTCTGTTGGGGTGCCCAAATTTATGCACCTGCCTACTTTTGTTTAAGTAATTATTGCACACTTTCTGTAAATCCTATAAACTTCATTTCACTTCTTAAATATCACTGTGTTTGTTTGCTATAGGATATATTTAATTGAAATTGCTGTTCTGAAACATCAATGACCCATAAAGGAAAATCTTGAAAATGATCAGGGGTGCCCAAACTTTTTCATACCACTGTACAGTAAGTGAATGTACCTGGTAGTTCTGTGAAGTTACTGGTGGTGGTGGTGGAGGGACCTCAGGTTGGCGCTGTGCATATCCATAGTCTGTGGCAGTGTGTGTTGGCTGGTATCCCCCATAAGCAGCAGCTGTAGCAGCTGCCACAGCGACTGGCGCAGGTCGAGCAACAGCTACTGTGGCTGCAGTGGGAGCATACGCTGCTGCCACTGTGTGTGCCGACATAGGAGCTTGATGAACGGTGTAACTGGCCACCGTAGTGGGGTGTGTGTATGCCACCCCCGCAGTTGGCTGATGACTGGTAAAAAGTATTAAGAAGACAATTGTCAGAAATTTGATGCAACATGACTGTGTTCTGGCAAAGCTTTTTCTAACAACTATTCACTGCCTTAACTGAATTGTTCAACTATCATATTATACCAAACCAATTTTTTAAAAAAAAAATCATACTTTATCAATCCATTATGTAAATTTTGGACAGGTTATAGCCTGTCACAGCAGCAACAGACAGACAATCATTTATACTTTTGATGATTTATGATGCAAGTGCTCAAGGTGAACCACTTCCAAAATGTATGCATCAATGACATTTGCTAATAGCAGCACACCCGAACTTTGACATCAGGACTGGAAATTTTATAATGTTTTAAGAAATATAACTTGTAGATAACTTATACTCGATATATTAAACCATTTTTTATATGGATATATGCACTCTTGTTCTAAAATGACATGCAATTTGCTTTATAAAAGAGCCAGTTTCATGTTGTTTCTCTTATTTCTATTTGTCTTTGCTCAGCCCCTCTCACTTTCTCGACTTGCTCAGCTCACAGTTCGGACACAGAAAAAAAAAAATAAAGCTATCTCTTGCAATGGTGTCATGAAATGTCAAAGACTGCAGAAATGTTTTAGGAAAAGTTGAGCATCTGCTGTATTTCATCAACATCTACATTATCTAAAAGTGATTCAGAATATTTGTGTTTATATGCGTAAATATTGTGATATTTTATGTAATTGAGCTTTACCAGAAAGATATTTTTCATATCAGGATATGATTCTACTTAGCTGTATCGCCCAGCACCATTTGATGTTCAAATAGTAGTAAGTCATGTAAAAAATAAAATACAATCTGGGAAGATAAGTGACCTCTACTGTTCCTGCTATTCTACAAAATCTAGTCTGCATTCAGGTATCTTCAGGTTTGGTCTAGTATTAGTTTCTACACTGCAAGATCCAGAAAGAAATATCTCACAAGGTGTGCCTTAAATAAAAAAACAGTTTTTAAAAGAGGAATATTTTAGGACCAACTTGAATCACTTGTAGCATATAGATGGGAAGTCAACTTCCAGTGTCAATGCATCAATTAACCATGGACAAAAAGAACTAAATAATTTACAGACTGGCATAGAGTTACGTCTTTGGAAAGTCATTTACTGACAGACAGCTTTGAGACTTCATCCGTTTTCCTTCATTCTACTCTAAGGAGGAAAATAGCGCTGGGCAAGAATGTGTTATGCAAAAAGAACGTTGTATTTATCACTGCATTTAATATTTAACATATGCTGTTTACCTATTTTTAATTAGATGCATGTTTGTCTAATCCAGTTCTCCAGTTTGTTAAAAATTCTATTTTTTTAAAGTAGCAAAGCTTGGACCTATAAATTTGAATTGAGAAAACCTGTGAGACATGGGGATGAGAGAGCCGTCATTTAGGATGTCCTTTCATCATTTCATGTTTGTGATTGCAAGTCAGCTACTTATCTGAGATGAATGCTTTTGACCTTTTAAGTCACAAACCTACTGTCCTTTCAAGTAAAATGGAATTATTTTCTTAATTATCTCAAGTATATTGAGATATATATATTGAGTTTATTACAAGCCACAGACCCAGTAATGTAAAAGTGGCCAGTGTTCTTGCCATACAGCAGCAATTCCCAAAGTGTGGTGCTCAAGTTAAACAATGTGATTGCAGTTTGAGTGTTTTTCAAGAGACATTTCTCCACAGAACAAATGTGTAAATAAACATTTCCTTTGTAACATTTAAAATGAAAAGTTGACATTTTAATTAATAAGCAAATGCAGGCTATATTTATACGTGTGTTATACACATGGTCTGGTCATTTAAGGATTACTTAACATACTGTATAAGAAAGCCTGTGTTTTTTTCCCCCTTCCTCGAAGGCCCAACAATCAAACGGTTGTGATATAGAACCAGTCGTGGACAAAACATGTTAAGGATTTGCTGCTTTACAGCAAAATCTCTGGTCTAATTACTGTTTTATGCATACATTTTACATGTCTTCACTGTGCGTAGATGGGTTTAACTCTAAAACGGCATTTGGTAAATAAACACTTTAAACTGACCATTGGTATTAGTGTGAATATGTATGGTTATTTAGACCAGTGAAGTGTCCAGGGTGCAACCTATCCCTGTGCAGTAACTGGGTTAAGAGCTGGGATTGGTTGACCCCTGTAAACTTTAAGCGGTAGAGAATAAATTAATAATGTTGTAGTTGTGCTAGATTCGTGTGAAGAAACACGTGTAACTGTGGATACTATAGATAGTATTTACATTTAACCATACACCTTTCGCTGAGAATACAATTTGTTCATTTTTTTAAATTATCTACACTAAAAGGTCAACCAAGTTGTTACGGTTACCTTCCACATCAAAAGTAAATTCAATTTACTTCAATTGGTTGGAAAGCGCTAAAAAAACGGACGCGTACAACGCATATTAGCAAAGGCAGCGGTCTGACGCAGTGCTATGTGTGGTCTGCTGCATCAGAGAGAGCAGCGTCCCCTCCCCCAGCCTGAACAATGGCGTCTGTCTGCATAAACCTACACAACACAGAAAAACACCAAGTTTGTTTGTTTTTTTGTTTGGTAGACGGATCAACAGGTCACCTCACCTGTACTGTGCAGCAGCGCCATGGGTAAATCCAAAATAATTGCCGGTAGCCATTTTGGCATCTTCACCAAGCCGGCTAGGCACTGCAGAGGACAGACATACAGAAGGATCAGTTAGCAGTTAGCATTAGCTGAGAGTGATTCTTCCAAGGACTCGCCATTAACCTTGCACTTTGACAGTACTTTAACAGTTCATATGTCTTAGGAACAACACAATATCTCTCATATTTAAAGTGATACTTACCATAGGTGAAGGAGACTACAGGGCATATAGGAATCATTGGTTTCGTATATTCCACCGACACCCGAGTTCAACACCAGCCTATTTATAATACATGTCGTACCCGGAAATAAGGCCGCGGAAACGCATGTGCAGAAAAACATGACCGATAAATTAAGCTGTTGCGAATTTCCCTTATGTCGCTATTATTTTAATTTAAAAGACTTCAATTGCTACCAAATAATTTACAATAATGCTAATATGTATGTATGTTTTTTTTATGTTTTGTCAAACGTAAATATAAATTTTGTTCGACTATAATCTTAGTGTTTTCATATTTCGACATGATCAGCAATACGAATACTAATAGAATGGAAATAATATAACAATATTTTCCATTATATTGTCATGATATCGTTGTTCGGGCTATTCTAACTTGCATATAGAAACTACATTGTTATACAGCTCCCTCAAATTTGTCAGATTGACTAGTCCCTTTCATCTAAACATTTTTAGTTTGCGAGTTTCAATAATTTTAGCCAAAACATTGTGTGTACGTCTTCCCATCTCCTTTACTGCGCACTAATGTCAATTTATAGCGTAAACTGAACACCTTTTGATATAATGTCACCAGAATTGTACACGAGCCACTAGTAGGCAGTGTTGCATTATTAAGTGATTTCTGAATCGAAAAAGGGAAGAAAAGAAGAAATCCCATCATGCTTTGCAACAGAAGCGTTTCATCCTGTTATTCAACTTGTCTTGTCGTATCTGCTTCCTGCGTTTCTAAAGGTGGTTTCCGCGGGACGGGCACGGTGTTCTGGTCGGTAATGTGCGTCCAGACTCCAGAATGAGCGGCGTGCGGAGAATCGTGAGCTACGCGTACATGATCGTTATAGTAGGAGCTGGCTTGGGGACGTGGGCTCTGATCTCTCCAGGAGAAGAAAAGCGTAAAGAGCAACTGAAGGTGACAGAAGATAAAGATGCAGTTAACTGTAGCATTATCTAACAAAATTCGGTGTGCGTCTGTTTTAAGTTTGTTGTTAGTCCTTGGTTATCCGGCTTTTTATAAGAATGTGTGTTTACCTTTTTGTTATTGTTGTGTCACTTATGCGTTGATTGATTTTTTTTAAGGTTGTATCATTTGTTAGTTGATGATCTGATATGTATGTGTGTTTAGGTTGTTTCTGTGTCTAATTGTGTGGTTGTGTAACGTGACTCTGGCTCCTGGTTTATGTGTTTCGTTGTGTTAAATTGTAAAATTGGTTTCCTGAACTCCACCACCTTATTCTACCTTTGAACCTACATTACAGTCGTCATTATTGAATGGATATTGCAGAAAAAAATATTCAAAAACGTGCAAAGATACACACATAGAAATAATAATAAAGATAAATGAATCAAACATAAATGAAACAAACAAACTAAAATAAAGATGTTCGTTTTACCGTAGTTAGCTTTTCCTTTCCTTTGAACCCAAACATAGCAGTCATGAGGTTCAGTTTTAATATAACGATAAACACTTGCAAAAGTGTGTAAAAAATGTCTCTCCAATATTTGTTAAGGCGTGAACAGGACCAGTACATATGAATAAGAGAAGTTCTACTAATTTGAATTTGACACAGTACAGATTATATCAGAATAAATAGAAAATACAACGTTCAGTCGAAGACTGAGATCTTCACAGTAAATAAAATACCCAGTGGGTGACAATCCTTGCAATATGGTTTCAAATGTTGTTGTTTTGATCATTTAAGTGAGGGAAGAGGAGAGTACATTAACATTTCTACACAAAATGTATCTACCTTTTCTCTTATTTCATTTTGAATACATTACGTGGATGTAATAAACAGGTCGGCAGTGTGGCCTGTATATATGTTTTACAGATTTCACAGTGTTTCATTGATACATGGATAGACTGATAGTTAAATGTGAACTGATAGTTAAATGTTTGTATGAAATGTTTTGATGGCTTTTTCTGCTACTCATCAGAACCTTCCTGGATCAAAGCAAACACAAGAGGAGGCCAAGAGAAGAAATGCTCTGGTGATGCAGGCTCTCAAGGATGCAGCTAATATTAATGACAACATTTCACGTAGTAGTCAAAGAAAACCCAAAGTAGACAAAAACACTGCTGTTTAGCACACAGAACCTCCTCAAAGCCTCTTCAAATGAACAAGAGACATCCGTCATGTTTGTATTTAAAATGTTTGGTTCTGTAGTGTAGTGGTTAGTACGCCTGCCTCGGAAGCAGAGAGCAGAGTCCAGGGTTATATTCCCAGAGGTACCACATGCTTGATAATGTTAATCCTCCTCTGTAAGTCGCTTTGGATAGAAGCGTCTGGTAGAAGCATAAAGGTAAATGTTTGCTTTTCATGTGGCAATAATTCACCGTGGGATATTATGATCTATTAAAATGCTTAAACTCAACATGTCTGTAAAGATTCTCATTTATCCAGGTCATGTTATCATCTTTCAAGCTCAAAGAAAAAAACCAGTTGCTAACAACTAAATTCTATGGGTGAAACACAACATTATCTTTCATATATATATATATATATATATATATATATATATATATATATATATCCCGTTTGTCTACAAAATTCAATATCTGACTACAAAGTAAGTATTATACTTTGTGATGTTTTGATTTAAGTTTGCTCTTCAACCGAGTGAATGCATTTGAATGTGAATTCGTTTTTGAAAATGTTTAATAAAAATGTAAGTTGGTCAGAAATAGAACTATTTCCAAAGATTTTATCAGCTGGTATCACTGTTTTCTAAACAGTTTGTTGTCTACCATAGGGCATGCATTTAAACTTAAACGTAAGGATTTATTTAAAGGCAGTACAATGTCTGTTTTCTGATGTTTTGTTTTGCTGAGGGAAAGCTTGTTTCGAGATTTTGCTAGACAGCTTTGACCAGCAATTACAAGAAATAACATCAAGGAAATAACATGAATTCAGAAACTATCAAGTTCATGTCTGCTGCTATACATTCACAATTGATCTTAAAATACCCTACTATGCAAGTCCGTCTTTTTTAGTTCTGCCAAGTTAGGCTTTACTTCTCCACGATGTTTGGTGCTTATGTTTTCTGCTTTTTGCAAATAAAGAATATTTCTTCCCAATTTGGACATTTCTATATATTTACCTTATTTACCTCAAATTAAAACCCAGAATTATGTGCTTACTATAAACATTCTCATCTAAACATGTCAACTAGAGTAAATGTAATAAAGAGAACAAGAAATTGACTTTGACATTTGGCTTTGATGACTGAAATGACTATTCAATTAAAATTTTTGGAAAATATATAATACCTTCAGCTGGTATTTTATAAGCATTTTTTTCAGAAAGCTATTTTGCCTAAAAGTATTTGTTACTCAACCAATTAGGCAGCAACACGTCAACAATCTTGCACGTTTTTGTCTCCTTAAAAGTTTAATCTGCACCTCACCTGAATGTATATTTTAATGATAAATTATATTTTTTATATATTCCTCGTTTGTCCTTGGATAAAACAAGTGAATATAGAATATAGAAATATTTCTATATTCATACATATACGAGCTATATCTATCTATCTATCTATCTATCTATCTATCTATCTATCTATCTATCTATCTATCTATCTATCTATCTATCTATCTATCTATCTATTTATCTATACCGACTAACGAAAAAAAACGACTAAAAAAGCGCCTGTACGTCTTCGGAAATTCTAATTTCCGGTTCCGGTAAAGAAAGGCGCACCGCTGCATCTCGTCATGTAAGCGTCCACAGCTTAAACGTAATATTAGAAAGCTCGTATATTTGTGTTTGTCTTGATGTTAAGAAATATTTGTGTTTGATTGTTGGGTCAGTAATATACGGTGTTCGTAATGAACAGAATGAGAACCAGGTCGCCAGCGACGCAGCTACTTGGTGCTAACGCTAGCCGCCGCAGCTAAAGTGTGCAGTTAGCGCGGTTTAACGTCGCTGCTGAACTTCCGTGGTTCCGTTTCCTCGTGGTCATCCATAAAATGACGCTAGACGTCACAGTCTGTCACTGTGTAGTGAAGCGGAATAAACTGTCTGCTTTAGTAGAAAGAAGCGCTACTTAAAAAAACAAAAAACAAAACAACCGAAAGTAAATTATTTTCACTGTATACTGTATAGTCTAGATTGTGTAAAATATTAACGAGAGTCAAATAAACACTCCTCGTACAATAGTTTGTTTTGGATTTTTTATGTATCTGTTATTATATTGTAAACATGTGTGTATCATCAATCATTTGATCTGGTTACTGCTAAGAAATGGGAATTCGCTTCATTCCTACTCGAAGCAGTATTTCCACACACTGGGAAACAACAGGAAACATTTACTGTATTATGAAAAAAAACCTAGAATAACTAAAATGACATTCTCATACAGCAGTAATTACCAGTTTCATTTTAAGAAGGTAATAAGTGTATGGTGGTGTGTTAATTTGAAGCAACATCTCCCCCTGCCCGACCTTCTTTTGCTGTCCCTCGAACGAACGCTTGGGGTGTTCGTGGCTACTAATATTGTTCAGTGAAACTAGAATAATGGAGTGACAGTTGTTTATCTTAAAAGACGCCAATAAGGCAAAGGTCCCACCATCCCTGTGGGACAATCTATCATTCGAGTCTGGTTGTTATGTACTGTAATATGTGTTGTCAATGTGTGTAATTTTACGATTCTTTAAGGTGATGAAGTGATTAAAATACTAGATAGAGCATATGTAACATTTCCCAAGTTTTCTGGAGGTACACAGTACTCAGCACTAAGGTATACAGTAGAGTTTGTTTGAGTTTTTCTGGAGTGCATTATTGAGGTGATGATCCATCAATATTAATTTAGCCACTCCTTTAAAAGTTTATCAAGGATTTTATCACCGGAAAATAAATCGTTGGGAAATTTTCTGGCTGCGTGTGTTTCTGTTGAACATACACCTGAGGGCGCTGTTCATTCAATGATTTGACCTCTATCTCAACAGAATGCCAAAATCAAAGGAAGTGCTCTCTTCCACATCTGGAAGTGACTCTGACAGTGAAGTGGAGAAGAAGGTTTGTTTTTAAGTACTTTGATTTACTAAGAAAAAACAATCAAACAAACAATGGATTTTATCCCTTGCTATGGCAGTTAATTCCAGAACCATGAGTCAAACACCATTAATAGAATTTAAGTCCTAATTTTATTGAAAGGGACAACACAAGCATCTCACATTCCACATTTTATGGCAAGAGGATAATGACCAGTCTGTCAGAGCATGTCCTGTTTTCACTCTGAACATCCAAATTAAGAGCTGTTAAAATATATAAATAAAAAGTCCCTTAACAAAAATAGATCTAAATAATACACTTTGGTCTGTTTGTTTCAGGCAAAAAGAAAGAAGCCCAGTGTTCAAGAGAAACCATCAAAGAAAGCAAAAAGTGGGGAGAGCTCTAAGCCAGGTGGCTCATCCGGGGGCAGTGGTAATGGTGATGACAACATGTTCCAGGTGGGTATCTCCATAAGGAATGGAGTACTTAAGTATCTTTAAAAGGAGTATCTTTAAAAAAAAAAAAATGAAATAAAAAAATGAAATGAATTAGGGAAAAAATGGGCTAGTAAAGAGACTTATATGTGAAATATTCAAAATCAGATTGGAAGATCATTATTTGGAGGAAAGTGGGCAACATTTGGCATGTTGGGATGGATTAACTAACAAAAGCCATTTGCACAAACCACAGGAAGCAGTAGGAGGTGTGGGTGATGGCAACCAACAGAAACCAACAACACTAATATGAGCTGACAGAGCTGAGCCCTACAGGTTAAATAGTAGTTTTTCTGATGGTTCAATTCCAATCAGCAGCCAGTGTTCAAAGTAGGAGATGTCTGAACACATGTTAAATGCATTTAGGAAATTTGAGCTAAAGAGAAATGGGATGTTGGCAAGACTACAGATGACACTTTGTGATGTGGGTAGGACTTTCAAAATAAGTGCCAAGTAAATGACTTTACTTTGCCAAGCTGTTTGAACTGAGATGAGTGAAATCGGTGAAAGAGTCAGGTAGGAGTTGTAGATGTTCTAAATGAAGGCATCAGCCTCAGTGATACCTGATAGAGGGTAACCTAAGAAGATTTACTACCTGCAGCTGTAAAATGACAAAACGTCTCTAGACAGCCTGTCTCAAATAAAACAGTGCCAAAGCATAAAGAAGCCCTTAAACTTTTTTAAACAAGAAACAGGCTCAGCCTTCACTGCTGCACTTCTTTGTTTAATCTTGAAGGGTGATTAAAAGACAGGAAACTTCTAACAGAGCAGCTGACAGCGGTTTGACAACCGGTTTGCTTCTTTCAGATCGGAAAGATGAGGTATGTCAGTGTGCGGGAGTTCAAAGGCAAAGTCCTGATTGACATCAGAGAGTACTGGATGAACCCAAACGGGGAGATGAAGCCGGGCAAGAAAGGTAATGAGTGCACATGCTGCACATTCTTCTGTATAAGTGTCTCTCACACACACACACACACACACACACACTGAGAAGTCATATCTGTGTGATAATCACAGCATGATGTTTGATCTTTCAGTGGTTTGCAGTTGTGCATTGAAACTAAAGTTTATTTATGTCTCCTTTGCAGGTATCTCCCTCAATCCGGAACAATGGAACCAGCTCAAGGACCAGATGTCAGACATCGATGATGCCATGAAGAGAATATAAATGCTCCTTTCGTGTGTTGCCTGTAGTCTGCTCCACTTTTTGTAAAAAAAAAAATAAAAAAAAATCCTGGGCTGTTTTCTAATGAACTTATTCCATTTGTAGCTGTATAGAGCCAGTGGTTGTCTTGTGTGCATAGTTGTTTTGTGTGTGTGACTTTCTTCTGAGTTGGTGTTAGTGAAAGTACGAGTGACTGAGCAGGAGGAGGATGATGGCTGGGGCAAGGGGCTGCATCAATACACTGATGTTTTTGTATTGAATGGTAATAAAAATTAGTAACTAAACCTAATGTTCCACCACTGTGTTTGTTTGTGAGCTTCATCCTTTTAAGCATTATAATCGTGTGTTTTAAACTGATTATATATATTAATATTTACCTTTATATACAGTACAAGTGTACATGTTAATTTACAACTGTATAAACATGATTGTAGATTGCCTCAGCTCTGTGAGCATTTTTTTTTAATATTGCTCCAAACGGATAAGTCTTGCATGGTTCAAGCTACACCTTAAAGCTGTAAAGTTTACAAATCATTCAAATTATAGACAATTCCATTGCGCTAAAAAACTAGCGATGAGCTAGAACCTTCCGCAGGATACTGTTAATACAAATGATGATGTCAAATGATTTTCAAGTGCTGTAGATGAATTACATAATCCATAAGGGAAAGGGTGCAGTGTTAATCTCAGCACAACTCATTAGGACTATCAATATGTCTGGTTTGTTCACTGCATCCTCCATGCAAAAAACAAAAGGCGAAAGCCAGTCAAGAGTGACAACCAACCTCATGGTTCAACCATGTTCTACAGAAGAAGATCTCTGAATGCAAAACAAGGGACACCGTGTTGAGCAGCAGGAGATGCTGATTGGTAAACATTTTTGGATGAAACCATATCTTCAATTAAAAACAAGTCTATCCAATAGTTAGAATAGGTCAAAGGGCAGCTAAAAAAAATTACAGTTCAAAACCACTAAGTCTTAAAATTGTCAAATGATAAGGTAAAGTTATTCATGAATAGAATTAATTAGACAAAAACTAGTAATTTATCAAAAGGAAGACAGAAATCATGAAAATACATGCAATAAGAAAATGTTTTTTCTTCACAAACAGAATTAACTGTAGCAACACATAGTTTAAAAAGTTCTATTAGGCAACTGACGTGAGACGTGAAACAGTACAGACTGTTTCACGTCTTCTGTTTGGCTTCTGCCTAACAGAACTTTTTAAACTTGACCATGACCTGGATGACTGAGAATCTTCATAGACATATAACAGCCATAGGCCATTTTTGATTATGTTTCTAATTCCAACCACAACAGTTACGGATACAGAGCCCCTAAAGGGACATGGGGGGAAAAAAAGAAAAGAAACATATCTCTTGCGCACATGAAAGTAGCTTTCTTACTGCCTCATGTTCCAATACACATATCCACATGATATCCATGTATCTTAGGCTAAACATAACAGGGAGACATTCCTTTTGTAAGATGATCTAACATCTAATTGGCTTCTTTTAGTGTCTCCTTATGTGCCAGCTTTGCTCAGCGCTGCTGCTTTACTTTGGACACATGCTCCAGATGAACCATTGTCACACAGACAGGGGCACAGACAAAGAGACAGACAGAGAGACAGAGAAACCTATTGACTGTTGCCGAACTTCTGCATAATGGGAGCATTTCCCTGAAACTGTCCTCGCTCTGGGTAAATTTCAAGGCATTGTTGACACCTGCTGTGACTTTAAGTGTGATGGTAACTGCTGTTTGAACAGAATTTACAGTTTTCTGGTGGCCTGTCAAGTAAGGGCAGGGGTGAGGAGGGGTTGTTAGGGGGTTGTTGACATTTCCCAGGCAGTTGCTCTTACTTCTGCTGTTGCTTTGTGGACATAGACTTCCAACAAGAAGCAGGGTCACCTGACAAAGACAGGCTGAAATACATGAGCCTCAAACTCATTTATTCTCTGCTGCACTGGGTACAATTGTGTCTCGTACCAACACTTGTCAATGTGTCTATTTAGTGCCACTGAGCTGAAGGCTGCTGGGAAACCATGAGAATACACAAGTGTAAAAGTAAAAAACTTTCTTTTCACCACATTTCTGCTACTTTGCACCAGGTAGAAATCTGCCACAGATAGATTTAAATTTAGTGCAGCTTTTTTCTACTGCAGAAATCATCTCTAGAAGGCTGGAAAGCATAAACCTATCTACAGGGGGTTCTCAACATACATCGGCGTTCGGTTTCTATGATGTGACTATTATCACCGTAAGTCTGAGCTCACATAGGGAACATAAGCACCTTTGTCAGTTGACTACTGTAACACAGTTTTAACATCATATTCTAAGACATAAAAACATCAGAAGTCTGACTTAGGCTTGGAAGCCATAATGAAGGGCAAAGCCTTCCCCAAAAAACAACAAACATAAAACAAATGTAATAAAGCACAATCCTATCTGTGGTGTATAATTGACAAATGTTAACAAATTTGTCTGCCATGTGAAGCGTTGCATGATGCCATATTCATCCACTTGGTTCACCAACTAGAGATTGTGACACTATTCTAATTGGTCAGAGAACTTGCATCATTTATATACATTCAATTTTTAAGCCAACAATACTAGTTTAAGAGGATGAAGTAAAAGTGGTCAAAAATAAACAGAACACCAAGACAGGCCACACACACACGCATTGATTAAAGAAGTTTTTACCACAGAAAAACATTATTGTTGTTGTTTAAATTTGATTGGAATCATTTCTTGTATAAATACAGGAAATAGCCCTAGTTGTCCCAATCATGAGTTTATTTACAAACAGACTTTGTCAGCGTTTGCATTCACTGATACAACTATTCAGATCTCAACCAGGACAAGGCTGGCAGTGGACTAGTGAAGAAGTGTAACTCTGGACTGAAGTGTTTTAATACTTATAAAGACTAGAAAAGTGCTGAGGAAATACAGATGTTGAACATGTTACACACTTAGAACTTAGCCTACTACAGATGATAATGTTACCTACAGTAAAAACTATTACAGTCTAGGAGTACAAGTGCCAATACTGAGGGGACATTTTCTTTTGCAAGCATCAAACTGAAGTGTAACTGTCTGGGAGGCAGGTACTGAAGCTTTAGCTGCACAGGAAGGAAGGAGGATGCTTAACGATGACAATCACATTATGCATCATGTGACCACTAATGTATTTAATTTAAAAGATAAGAAAGGTATGGTTTTGTGTGTGTGTGCGCACGCATACCAACATGTGTGTGAACAGTATTACAATTAAGTATTAAGAAAATATGATCTGCAGACCTTTGCAAACACTCACTGCTTCACTGAGAGATCAGTAAAAGTTCTGGCACAGCTTCTCACAGCTTCCTAAGGATGAAGACAATATGATTCTTCTACAGCGCAAAGAGCTGTGAGTTTTGTGTAAGAGATATATATATATATATATGTTCTTCTTCTTTTTCTTTCAGCTTTGTCCCTTTTTCAGGAGTTGCCACAGAGAATCATTGATTTCCTTCTCTCTCTGTTCTCTGTATCTTCTACTCTGACTCCAACTATCTGCATGTCCTCCCTCACTGCCTCCATATATCTCCATCCATCCATCCATCCATCCATTTTCATCCGCTTATCCGTTACCGGGTCACGCACCACACCAATGACAGAGACATTGCCTCTGGGCCAAAGCGCCACATCCATATATCTCCTATATATATATATGTTTATACATATATATATATAAGATATATATTTATCTTACTGTATTTACTGTAGTGGACACTGAGGGTTGTCTGTTGTTGTTGTTTGAATGTTTGTAAAATAAAGCACGACAAGTGTTTGTGAAGAACAAAAAAGTGCTACATTAACACAGGCAATTCTGATGGATGTATTTTTTCTTTAAAATTGTACAACTTTATACAAGGCGACTTAATTTGGCCAAAACAGAGCCCTTCCTGGCCTATGACTTTTACACTGCAGTGCAATGTTTGTAAACATTTGTATTATGTTAAAATAGAGTCCCTATAAAACATTAGTGTTTAGTTCTGCTATGAAGTGACATCAGAGGCGAATCACGTGCACCCAGTTTTGTTTAAATGAAGATATGAATGGTAATGAGCACAAGCTTAAAAAATGTGTGGCATGTGAGCTTTTTAAACTTGTGACATCATTACTTATGATCAACAAATTTGCCCTTTCCATGATTTCAGTGACATTAAACACAGACCTGGTTTAATTGCCAGTGTAATTAAGTGTCACAGCGGTTTGCTTAATGTAAACAATTTAACCTGCACTTCATTCTTTGACTTGTGTACTTTATATCGTATGTTGTACAATGTTGACTCTACTGGACCAGCATGTACTCTTATTACACACTTTAACTAAATATGTACACATTCCACATTCCTCCAGTGGGTCTCCAGGGGGCGTCGTGTTTGGATTTCCTCACAGTTTGCAGAACATAGGACTCT